CCGTCGCAACGTCGTCTCCACAGATTCGAATCCCTCCGTAGTCCCATAAAAGATGTAATGTATGTTCGAAACCAGCGAGAACGCTGCGTCTCGTCGCGGCGCTCTCCCAAGGTACGTTCTATGGGGTTATCGATCGCGGAACCGCAATTACCAATCAAGAACCAGCAACGCGGAACTCGCCCGTAGAAATCAATCTCAGCTTTACGCTCGACTACGCGTGGCGTACCGATTCCGTGATGGCGTGTACGGACAGACAGGATGGATTGAGAGAGAGAGAGAGAGAGAGAGAGAGAGAGAAGACAAAGAGGAGAGCGGCGATCTTACGAGTTCGCGCGTGTTGCGCGCACAGAGAACCGCCGTGACGGAAACCAAATCGAGTGCTAGAAACAGCTTCGAAACTATTTCGAACCGATCCGCGGCGAGTTACCAAGCGACGGTGCAACTATTCGGAGCAATGGGCGCGGCTGGGTGCATACGTGGGCGAGTTAGGAGCCGGGCCACGGGGCTTACCGCGCGCCATGCAAGTAGTTCGGTACCGGCCTGAATCGCGAATTTCCCGACGACTCGGCGCCGGAAACCCTTGCCACCCCGGATGCCGGCCGCCGACTTCCGAACCACCGCACCACGTCTGACGCTCGCTCCCACCGGCGGCCGGGATTACGTCAAACTGGCATAACGTATCCGGGGCAGGTCTGAGGCCGCTGACTGGCCGACTGGTAGCCTCGCCAACTCCTCCAGACTTCGCGAAGGAGATTCTCCTTGTCCAGCGAAGAGGAAAGCCATAGCCAGGCTCGGGTAATTGCATCTACCACGGACTCACAACTACTCGCCCTCTATCTCTGAGACACGGGATTCCGAGCTTCGTTAAGTCGAGACTTTGCGATGTGGTTCGGCCACGATTACACTGTCGGCTCAACCACCACGGCGATGGTCGACGGGAAGACGCGTGGCTTCGGGTTGATTGCGAAGAGCGGCTTGCTTGTTGGGAATTGTGCTACCGACTATTGTGATGAAAATGCTAGATAGATGATTGCGATTGCGGTGTTGGATTTGAATACGTAGCAACTTCGCGAAAGACGTTTGAATTTTGAAGGAGATCAAGAAACCATGGGAGTCTCGTTTGATTAAAACACAGCTTTGCTAGTATTGATATCTGTTCCCCATTAACGTAAGTACGAGTCGCTTGTTGAATATACATTCTCCTTTTTATTAAATCCTACGCTTCATTACCGCGGAAGTTGTATAGAACGCGTGATCTTCCAACAAAAGATCTCCCTGTATGATCGTGCCCAGAGAATAACGATAACTGAACGACTCAATAAAACCCGGCCGGAGCGCAATTTTGTTCAGGGAAATTTCCCGGCACAGAAAAGAGAGAGAGAATCAATCAATGAACGATCGAAGAGGCTGGACGATCGTCTCTTTGACGCGCGTGTTCACGCATGAATAACCAAGCCGTTCTTTTGGACCATCGTCGGTAGGCAATCAAGGAGGACTATCTTGGCCAGATACAAGAACACATACGCTCCATCCAAAAGCACCGTGCCAGCAATGTATGACAAGATACGCGAGCAAACACACACACGGAATTAACTACGTGTATAAACGTAGACTGCGTATATATAAAATATACGCGTGCACACAACTGCGAGCGCGTCTACGTTCGCGCGTTCGTCTCGTGCACACGCGCACGGACGGATGAGCGTGTCTACGTGGAAGCGAAACTACGGAACCGTGGCCTGGCTCTACCTTATAGGTGCCCCCATCTCCGTCCGCTCACCCACCGGTACCTACCGCCACCGCGTAAGGGTGAGCTCACGGAGAGAAAATCCTTTGGCCAGCGAAGCTTGGATAATCGCGCCTCCGAGCTATAGTCGCGCCTCTTCGCCGTAGAGACTGGCATGGCACCGCAAGGCAGAGAGAAGACACGCTTTGCTGCAATTGCAGCGGCTGCCCATCCGCGTGGAAATCATAGCTCGCTGCGGGACTCGAAATTGTCCAGAAACGCTCGGATTCTTCTTTCACCGCGCCGGTTAACGGTGCCGACGGTGATGGTGGCGGCGGCGATATGGGCGGGGTAGAGCACGGCACCGACTTCTTCGGGGATTTGAACGTAAAGGTCTCGCCTCGGCACGATCGACAACGATCTTTCCTCTCTCTTTGTAATTCCACGAGCGACTCGGGGCCGACTCGTTGTTCCGCTCCGTGTCACCTCCGCCTGCGTTGATCCCCGAGTCGCTCAGATCGAAATCGAATCTGGGTTAGAGAACAGCTCCCAACGACCTTGAACGAACTACCGTTCTCGTCATTGTTATGTCTATCGAAGGGACGATCTCTGCTATCCGCAATAGTAGCCGCGTTTCCCTTCATCCCTTTTTCCCCGAGATCGTACGTTTCACGATCGACGCACTCGAGCCACTTTCTGGGTTACTGGTTTCCGTGTTCTCAATTTCTTACCGATCGTAATCTATGCTTTCGACTATTCGCTACAATTTTACTGATATCTCTATCCTTTATCAAAATCTCTTCCAGCGTTCGAGAAGTTATCAAGTATCAGGATTAATAATGTTTTCGCTACGCCCGTGGTGAACGAAGAAAGTCTAGCGCAGCGAGCAAGATCAATCGGTGTCTCGTTGATTGCGTCCGAGCCGCAGCTCGCGCGCATCGTTCACAGAAAATCCGACGATAATCCCCTTAGGGGTCAGAGACCGGCTACGGAAGTGCCATATTGTGAAATCTGCCAGAGAGCAGCGATGTTCGAGGTTTGAGGTTCGCAGACTTGTCCGACGGGGGTATGGTATTGGATGTCATCGCGAGAGAGATTACGCGCAGCTTTGAAAGAGCCTCCGCCTCGCCGCGTCTCTCTCTACCTTCTTCTCCTTCTTCCAGTCATTTCCTACCTCCTCTCTTTTTTCCCGTTCGCGCCTCTCGCTCCTCGCCAGATATACACCGCTATTTCACCTACTCCTTTTCCTCGGCGCCGTCCGTTTGCCGAGACGCAACCATCGCGCCCGTCTACCCCTTATACCGACCACCCTCTCGAGGCGGCAAGAAACCCCTGTGGCATTGAAGGGAGCCAGCTTTCATATCCCATTTGCCCCTATTTTTCATAAGCGATATTAGAATCTATCACGGAGACCCGGCAGGCACTCCAGCTCGAGCCGAGAGCAGAAAGGATGGAAAACGAATCGAGGAGCTGCGAGCGAGGAGAGAGGTGCTCGGATACCGTTAAAAAAGATAGAGAGGAGCCCGATTATCGGTCGGGTGGGGTACCACGATCGCTGACGATTATCGACCCCATTCAACCAACGACGTGAATGGATCCAGGCTCTCGCGACACCGAGACCCCTGCCATTCGTATTTTCTGTCTCCCGTTTCCTCTCGCTCCCTTATTTCTACCCGCGAAAGCCGATGAGAGCCGACCTGCTGTACATGTATATTACATCAGTCGACTGATATTTCATTCATTCTGACCTCGAAGAGTTCGAATTTAGGTTGCCAAGTTCGACGGGGTGTTTCTGTTTCATTTTTAAGAACTGAGAATTGTAGATACGAAACTAGTTATAAAGATAATAAATATGGCATTGAAAAAAATCGCGTTACAATTTACTCCAGAACAACTTCATTCTAATAAAGTAAACTGAACACCGTATCAATCATCTGCAACGAGTAATGTATTCCATCCTCTACAAATAAGTACTATTAAAAAAGAATCGTAGTACACTATCAAGGAATTCGTAGCGAAATCTCATTTCCTTCAACTCGTTTCCGAACAATTTATTCATATCGACCGCTTATCTCTTAATCTACGCTATCGTTATCGCCAAGACGGAAACGTGGGGTGCCACGCAAAACATTCGCGGACCTTTGCTAGTGTAAAGAAAAAAGAAAAGAATCGCACGTTAACAGATGGTGTTATGCTAATTTTATAGGCCCACCCGCCGGCTTCGTCCTTCCCTCCGTTCTTTTTTCATTCGGTCTCCGTTCGGGTTCTAATCGAGCCGCGATGAATTTACATTTCTCGTAGTTTCCCGCCGCGGAAACGGAATTCTTCTGGCCGTTTGTATACCCGGTACGCGCGTCGGATGGAAATGCTCGCCCGTTCCGATTCCCGGCACGCGTCCCTTCTTTTATTTCTTATGTTAATCGCACCTGAATAAAAGCCCGCGTAATCGACCGCAGTGATCGACCTATCGTTATGTGGCTCGTAGGAGATTCGAAAACGCAGCCACCTTTGTGGCCCGTAGACACTTCGCTTAACCGACCGATAATAATTTAAATGATATATGGATATTCTCATTTAGTCTGACAAAAAAGATAACGTCCGATATCATCGTGTTTCACGTATTTCAACTGTTTCGACAATTGTATTTAGGTATTTGTGAAATTTTAGTTGCTCGAAATATATACTGATATGAAACGTTGCTTGAAAGTAAAAACTTCTACGATCTATCTATATGTCATGGAATTTTCAAGGAAAATTCCTAGTTTATATCGCATGGTCGCACGAGCGTAGAAGTCGCGAGAAAAGGCGCGCGTTAACGTTGAATCATCCAATCACCGTTCGTGATTAACTTTCTGATCGATCGCCGGCGTCAAATTAACGTTATTTATCTTCGACTGTGCCTGACGCAACGTTGCCGCATTAGCGTCGAGCGTATTATCGCAATTACTAATTATAGTTTCAAGCCGGCTCGTTAATTATCCGTCCCGCGATTCGCGCGAGTGGAACGCCGGTATTATTGACTCGCTAAACAGAGAATAGTCTCGACCATATTTTCAGCATATTTGCGCGCACTTGCGTGCCGCGCGAACACGCACACGTACAGACTGGGGATGCAACGAAATTTCGCGGGCGAATTCGCGACGTCAGCAGCCCAGCGGCGTGTTTTAACGATCGACGGTTATTAAACAGTAATTACCGATTCGCGAGTATCGAATTATCGTATCGCGGAGGGAATCGACTCGTTCACCCCGAGAAAATGCGAAATATCACTCACCTCTGTGCCTGTTGGTCTGCTTGTCGAACATCAGCATGGCATCTTCGATCTGTAAATTAAATGAAAGGAAACAAGTTAATTGACTGACTCGTGTTCTCAAACAGTTTCGAGCAATAAATTCAGACAGTGACGTAAATGGATTTATTGCTTAAAGCAGCGATCACGATTGCATTTTCGAAAATTCCTAAATGATATCACGTAATCGCGTTGCAAACAACTATGATGAATGTACGACCGACGAGGAGCCCGAGCAACGCCGCGCGAACAAGATGTCAGAATTTAACGTCGTAAATTAGTAGCGACCCTTGCCACTGTGTGTTACTGAAAAAGCAACCCCTTCTAGGTGTCAGGCGTCCAAAGTGGTCCGCTGAAAGCGTTATGGATCGTAAACAACACCGTGGAAACGGCGAGTTCCACCAGTGCCCAGAGTGTGGCGTCAAATTTTCGAATAACTTCCCGAGAAAATTAGAGTCACGACGCGTAAAGAATTAACTACAATTATTTCTCCGACGTTCACATCGCTCGTCATGACTATCTAATTTTAACGTCGATCAAACGGTACAGAATATTCGTGTGAAAAGTGCGACCAAGCTTTCCTCCGATCGCATTTTCAATTCCCAGAGAAGAAAATTCGAACGTGAACCTATCCCTCTTGAGCGACCGTCAATGCCGTAAGGTTGAAGCCCCGTCGAATCGGAGATAGGATCGCTCGTATTCTTCCCGGAAATACACGTGTGCCGTAAAGCACAGCTGGACCGAGATTTACGAAGCACACCGCTTCGCCGAGAAAGGCGTAGCAAGGGGATTGAGAATAGCCGGAGTTGTAGTAAGTGGGAGTGAGGTCGGAGGGCTGTTGTTGCGCGGGGGTGTGTTGTCGGTAACCGAAGTGCGAGAGGGACCGGTGAGGAGCGCAGGAGGCGGTAAGGCGACGCGGCTACCAGGATTTATGGGACAGGAGAAACAATAGGGATTACCTTTACGCCCGAATCCCCCCCGTTCGCTGCCCGTGGCCCTTGCTTTGTTGCTTCCTCCACTTCCTGCGAAAGGACAGCGAGCACGAAACGATAGAAGTGGCAGTCGCGTTGACTACCGGTACGGTGGCTGCCATTGAAAACGCGCGCGTGCTTCGAAATTGTTTCATCGCGGGAGAACCAGGGATCGGAACGAGGTGGAGGAGAGAGGTGTGGGTGCTAAGCCACGTAAGCGACGCGCAGCGTGTCCAAGTAAATATTAGATTATGCGATTAACATTCGATGGACTTCTCTTACTGAGGGACAATCTCATCCCGTTTGCATCCGTCAACACGACGTAATTCCGTTTATCGACTTACGTAATGCTGTGGGAGAGTAACGTCGGAGGGAGTGCGAAAGGAACGTGTTGATTTAAGGAGAAACGTTGGTCAATGGAAGTAAAAGTAACCGAAGCGATGATCACCTGCTCGATAGGATTGACTCGAATAAACGGAGGGATTATGGGAGAGAATCGCGTGCGATACTTAATGCCTATTTATTGGTTAAATTTGCGATATTTACATATTCTCATTGAATAAACTTCACAATGCCGTTTCACCTAAACTTAATTTTAATTTTGATAAAAAAGTGTATTCCGTTCTGAAATTCAGATTTATCTGAAAGTTGTCTATTACGCGGACGGAGACTGATATCCGAAACGTTCATCCGCGCCACCGTCTAGATTTCAAAGTCAGCCGCTCTCGACGCGGTGGGTTTGTTTGAATATCGTTAACTGCTTCGCGAACGTGACGAGAGGAACGGGGGCTGGAAAGCAACAAAAAAAAAGGACGGAAAAAACGGCGACTAACAGCTCGTTCTTCAAGACTTGTTCGCTTGAAACTAACGAGAGAGAGCAGCCGCGTGTAAGGTTTGCAGACGCAGCGGCGCGGGTGGCGGCGTCTTCGATGAAGGATGATTCAAAGCGCGATCGTTTTATCGTGGGATTCCACCCCTCGACCATTTCTCCTCAAAAAAAGAAGGGAATAACGGAAACGTCGGTGAATCTATCTCTTAAAGACGAAGAAACGCGGCCAGACCGCCGCGCGGTGTGTACACCTCAGAGATGATGATTATTCATCGAAATAATTCACCTCCTGTTGCTTTGAAAGTCACATGAAACGTGCCAAGGAATTGAGTCTCTTAGGCGACGGCGTTCGTCCCGTTTTTCACTTTCAAAAGAACGAGTAATATTATACGACGAGAGGAGGGACGAAAGAGAGACGGTGCGAGGCTTTTAATGAAAACAGAAGAGGTATCGCAGCGTAAGGCAAGACTGACATCAGGGACCTCTTCCTCGCCCACTCACCACTGCCATGTCTTTTGCTCCTGCGACGTTTTTCACGAAGTGGACTTTCCATTATATTTCTCATTCCTGTCGTCGCTGCATTTTCGGCGCACATATTTGTTTCAACGAGTGATACGCTTTCGATAGCAGAATCAAAGCCTGAATATCCTATTGGTCATGGCTGCACTACATTTTGTGAGCGTATGGAGAGCGTGTCAATTAAAAGAAGGATTCGCGAGTGAAATCTCGGTACGCCTACATGCGAGCGTACTCGATAATACATGGGGCAGCTACTCCAGAGCAAATGAGTCCGTGGGTGGGCATGATGTACAGTGCTGATACAAATAGGCATCTGAATAATCGATAGACGTGGGAAGCAAACCGAGGGCGAAACACGAAAATGGAATGATTCGATCTCACGAAAGTAGAAATAGTGATATAGAGAAATCGTTGCACTCCATTGGTGAAAGAGAGCTCTTGGAACCCGCGAACAATGCAGATTTTGTATGTTCAATTATTAAATTAATTATAAGGATGTAGCTACAGTATAGAATTGTAAGTAGTAACAGAATGTTATTAGTCAGACACACGTGGAAGGATAATTAATTTCAATATTTAATACAATATTCTACATCACGCTTGCAATTAATTATTATGTGTTGAGGTTAAAAAAAAACTGTTCTTTGTATTTTATACACTTTTTAATAAAACTTACATTTGGTGTATTAACTCTTTTAATCTCCCTCCGTGAAAATGATATCCCTCGCAAAGTATGCTTGCACTCCTTTTATAAAGAAAAGAAAGCACACCGATGATTCCCATCGGTTTAGAATTTTAATGAGATCAAAAAATTCGCGAAGCTCTTTATAAAGGTGTAATTAAAAATAAACACCGGGAATGAAACAATATAAATTCTTAAAAGATCCGCCGCGGCCTCGGGTTGATCACTTTGATCATTCCAATATCTGGCCAGTCGGTGGGTTTTCCGTTAAACAAAGAGGGACTGTACCACATTTTCCCGGCGCGGAATTATTTCAACTTTTCTGCTTTGTTACCTCTTGCTAGCCCGCGTAATATCCTTGAGGCAAGAATGGTAAAACCCTTCCCGATATACTTTGATGTCCTCGGCGTTGTTCGACGGAATCAGTCCTCCGGCTTCGACTACTCGAATCGATATTAATCTTCTCGGAACCGTGCCTTGCGATTTTCTTCTCCTGTCTACTTCGTGGAAGTTATTGCGTTCACCGGTTGAACAACGATCATACAAAACGTTCCATTCGGTTCGTTTTCCGATGGATTCGCCAACCGGCTACTATTTTCACCAAAAAATATGTCAAGTGATTTTCAGTAATTAATTTACGGTTTAGGCGATGATTATAGAAAATATTTGCGTTATAAATTATTCATCAGGTTGTTATTGGCTACTTGAATTCGTAAAATTAATTATCGGTTTTCTACGTTATTAATTTGTCGGCATGTATTTAAACCAGAGATCAGGGATATCAATTTTCAAGCTATTTGATGCATGTGTAGTATTACATTTTTGTGCATAAATACCGATACGTTATAAAATACAATTTTCTGCGTGGGATATAATTTGGGGAACCAAGATGATTAAAACTGTTACTGTGATTTAATGCACAGAGATAATTTCTCTGCATTAAACGGATTCCTTTCATAAGGCAATTTTAATGTTCGTAATTAAAATGAGTGGTAGAAAATTGGTTAATTTAATGGTTGAACATCACGAATTTGAAGTATCATAATTGATACCGCAGATGAGGAATTAAAATTCTGCATGAGTCTCGATTAGCAGCACATATCTACACGTTTGGAACTTTAAGTAGTTATACCCTATCATTAGTCAGACATTTCGTTTAATCCTGGACAATTTACGTGAACCTGATTATTCTCGGAAGTATCGCCTACGTACAATCGCGAATTCATTGAATTAAAGATCTTTCCTCCCAACTCATTTTATCAGTTTACCCTCATCACCGTTATTCTAAAATCTCAATTTCCGGAATGGTAACAATTAATAACTTAAAGTAACGTTTCCTAATGGGACTCGAGGCAGCTCTATAATTTCCCGGAGTTTTCGAGTTTCACGCAGTTGACTCGCGCACGAATAATGCCAGAAAGGTTACGAAAGGTAGATGGGTGAAAGCGGACGCCAGGCAGGGCTGTGGAGCAGTCCCTGCGGAGCAATAGACTTCCGGTGAGTGGGCGAGGTGTACCTTATTACAAGTTCGATTCTAGCGGCGTTACAGCTCTCGGTGGACCCTGTGGTAGATTGTTGTCTTACGAGTGCTGCCCTTTCGACTACCACCACTGACGCTATGCCACGCTGTTCCCTTTTTGCAAACACACCTCGTATCATTTCACCCCAACCTTCTTACTCGGATTCGTGTTAGCTGTCGTGTTTGGTGAACTAATTTAAAACGACACCCAGAACTGGGTCAAGACTGTACACTTTACGCGTGTCTTTCTCATTCTGCCTAGCTTGACATTTATTACGATGTTCCCGCTTGAAGGTTTCAAGCATTATCCGTAACCCCTGACTTCATTATTATGGATGCAAATTGCTGAATCTCGCCTAACGTCTCGTACCCGGAAAGCGCATAATGTTGGGAGAGATCCAGGGTCACGTTTTGTACGACGCTTTCGTCCAAATTTAATACAATGAAGGAGGTGTTCGTTTTCTAGGCTGTCCACGATCGTCCATCTCTACTAAAAACGTCCTCATTTAAATCC